TGCCCCCCCCCCCCCCCCAATCCTTGGAGCGGTAAGGACCCAGGTATACCGTCCGTGATATGCCTTCCATGATTGTTTGTACATCTACCGGACTAACGGTGGTTTCGCATTTTTAGACCACACGCTAGCCCACAGATATATGCATCCTGGTCATGGAACGTCCTGCCTGTACCACACATCCCGTACGTCCGCATAATTATCAGGAGTGCACTTCCCTCCCTCAACTAGCCCGAGCTTGCTCTCGGCGTCCTTCTGTGTCATCCAAGTCTAGTCTTCCGGAAAGTGCTAGACCAAAAACGGTCGTAGAATGGCGCGGACACATTTTTGCACATGGGAGTGTTACCCCTCCTACGGCGTGTCTTCTCCGGACATCCAACAGTCACCAGAGAAGTGCTTCTGCATGGGCTCGAGAACACCAGAACGCCGCTGAATTTGAAGGCCGATCCTCTTGACAGCATGATATGTGGGGCAACAATCCAGTTCTCCGTTTGACAAGTCGATTTTGCAATCAGCGGTGTCGCTGTAGTTGCGCCTCGACCTGCTGTCGACATGGGCACACTGCGGCGGCCGCGTAAGTGAATAAGAGAGTCATATGAATCGCAAAAGGCAACCTCCGCAACTAGCGCAGCTCTCAAAGTCCGCGCAAGGATCTATCCGTGATGTGTGTTGGGAAAACAGGGTGCATGCGCGGTGCGGACCCCAGGGCCTGTGATCTTCTGCTAGATTAGCTCACTATCGCTGCGATCCGTCTGGTTCGCTCTCTCCATCCAGCGCTGCGTGGGACGGGCATGCATCTGCGTGGGAGCGCGAGGGAGGCCTTCACGCGGCTTTCTATTTCTGTGGACGGTTCGGAATCAGTGTTCCAGAAGATCTGGGGTTCGTCCTGGTTGCTCCGACGGGGCCAAATGACTGAATGCCTGCGTTCATTTTGAAAATGCCGGGAGCGGACACAGTCGCTGATAGAGAGCCGAGGCGACCCCTTCACTGGTTGTGCTCGCGGTGAGTTCCAGACCGCTGGCCGTGGCCGTGGCCGTGCACGTCTATTGTTTGGTGAGAGACCTGATAACCTGTACTAGCGTTATGGCAGTTGACTGATTCTGGGTCTCATGACGAGTAAGCAATCACGTCCAAAGTCTTGATTGATTTTTGGGAGCGAAGACGGCGGTATCCACGGCGGATGTTTGGGAAGACAGGCATCTATCGTTGGACCTAGGCTCCCTGTGCTCGGAGACTTCCACGGGACCTGTAGGACGGAATGCAATGATACTCTGTTCCGCATCATCTTGCCAGCAAAGATGTTCTGATAGCGGATGTCCCACGCAGGGAACGTGCGTTCGTCAGAGCGGCCAATGCGTCCACGGTATGAATTGCGAGCTGATAACCGGAGCGCAAGGTTCTGGTGGAGTGCCGCATGGGGCCCATTACCCTGGCCCGGTATGTTCCAGGTCGAGCGAAGAGGAAAGGGGGCTGGCGGACATGGTGGGAGGGCCACGGCAGCTTCTTCCGCGAGAGCCTACGGCTGTGATGGGATCGTGCGGACGTCTGCGCCACAAAGGCGTTGCCTCCCAAATCCGGACGTTTCCCGAGGGCTGCTGAAAAAGACCGGAGGTGTCCGAGGGCCGGCCGCTGCGTCGGTATCACGGCAGGCTGCAGCTCGGTCGGCGGACTTGTCGCTGCCATCACGGTCCCCGAGGGCGCGGTCCCCTCCTCTGATCGCGCCACGGCTCCCGCGTGTGTTCAACGCGCACCGTAGGTGTCATAGTCCCAGCGCCCGTCCTCACATCCACCGTCCTCAGTCTAGAGGCGGCTTGTCGTAATGCGGCTCATCTCCTTCAAATGAAATGTCGTACATGATCAGGGTCATATGGCACACGTCGGACGTGATATCGTCTTCAGTTCGTTATCCTGTCCAGCGCACGGGCGGCCATCTGGCGCTACGCCGTGAGACCACACAGTACACCATCCCAAATCCAGCCACATTCCAAGATGCCCCCATCGAGAATGGTCCATCGCTGCTCGTGCCCATGCAGCCCAGTGGAGACGGAAAGATCCGCAGGGCCACGGATAGAGCGGTCAGCAGGCTGGGTCCCCCCTCTCGTACAAGGCGAGCCACGGGCGATCGACCGAACGGGCATGGCCCCTCGATAACTCTGCGATCGAGCGTCCGGGATCCTCATTGCCCACCCCGAAGCACAGAAGCGCCATCTCCCATGAACCTTCTCGACAGGACCCGGAGTATGCAGACTCTCTAGTGCGGGTCGCAGTATCCAAACATACCTTGCCGACC